CTCCACCTCCACCACCTCCAGCTCCTCCTCCATCTCTCCTCTCCCTCTCTCCCTTTCTCCTCTCCCCTCTCCCTCCGCTTTTTCGAATTTTTCGAAAAAATTAGGAAAGTTGAGGAAGGAAGGAAGGAAGGATAGATTAATTCGAGAGATCCATCCGGGCATAATGGAAGCTCGATTAAAAGCGAATGGAATGTAAATTGGAATCTGGAGAAAGGGAGAAAGAGCGAGAGGTGAGCGGTCGTGAGTCGGTTCGGGTATCGAGGATCTCGTTTTAATCCTGACGAGGCGCGGCGAAGCGAGGCGAGGCGAGGCGAGACGAGGCGAGGTTTAGAATATGAGACGCTCGATGGACCACCCATGGCCTTACGGAGAGTTCCGCTATCTCGCCACGATGATCGAGGAGCGAGCTCGACGACGAAACGGGAGGAGGGAGGGAGGGAGAGAGAGAGAGAAGCGAAACGTTCCTTCGTCGTAAAAAAATTCAACATTTATTTTTGTTTACGTTGTATGCACGGAGAGATGAAATAGATAGTGAAAATAATAGGAAATAGCGTTGATGTAAATAAATCACGCGTTTGCTGTGTAATCGATCAATTACTTCAATTTACTTTTAATTTACCTCCTTTCGAATTTAATTTATCGAAAATTCATTTTAAACGTTAAATATATTACGCGTTTTGATTTGAATTTTGTATTTAATCAAATGTTATTAACTATTTGACCTATTAATATTAATAAAACAACATAAATGCATAAATTATTAATTTATTAAATATCTCGTAATTTATTATATCTCTCAGAATTAATAAACAAATTAGAGAGAATAAAAAGCCGCCATATTATTTAATTTTATCATTTAATAATTTGGTAAATTTTTTTTTTATAATTTTCCATAATTAATCTTAATTTTTAATTAAATTTTTACAATTAATTCAATAAATTTCATTTAAAATTAATAAATTTAATTGTTGATATTTTTAATATTAATTTATGTTAAAATTACAATTGATTGTTATTTCCAATTATTATTACCATTATTATTATTATTTTGAACGATAAAATACTCGTATCCCAATCACGATGTATCCGCATCCGAAGAATCGGCATTACCATCGAAAAGATTCCTTCTCCATTGTGAAGGAAAAAGGCCAATCTTCCCCCCTCCCTCTTCCTCCTCTCTGCCTCGTTTCAACCTTCCACTTTCTTTTCCTTCGCGCGAATCGAAACGAGTTAAACCGAGTTTTAGTTTCCATCCCCCGCTAATCGGAGAAAGAGTTTCGTCTCCACCATTTTCGAAATTTACCCAGCGAGATAGGATAGTAATTTGGACGCGAAACCATTTGCATTTGCCGGAAATGAACGCGAATCAACTATATATATGTGTATATATATATATATCTTCACGTTAATTTCGTCGAATTTTGGCAATTCGTATTTTCTTTGATCCACGTTTGATCCTGCCCAACTCGTCCTTGCTTTCGCGAAATCCGTATTTCTGGCGATAATGACCACGGGTATTTCATTACTCGGCGTTTCTCGTTAGCCACGCTCCTATTAACCGATTCAGGAGCTTGTGTATATATATATACATATATATGCGCGCGCATCCTCGGGATCAAAGCCAAATTCCAATACTGGCAAGTGGCGCTTAATTAGCAGTTCGATGCTCCCTCGACTCTCGCTCTCCTTGATCGATCTTTCGATCAAGGCGTGTATCAGACAAGATAGAGGAAGTTCGAAGAGTTCGAAATAATTGATAAAGTGGAAAATTTTACCTGGAAACTTTGTGCTGGGCGATCCTTCCGTGACTCGGCAACGTGACGTTGCTGTCGCTCTTCGACCAAGTCACCGAATTTTTCGCGTCCGGCAGCTCCACCTTCCCGAGATACGCCTCGCAGAACAATCTCGCAGCTCCTCCCAGCGGAACCAACTGCGAGGCTGGCCTGTACGTTGGCAGCGGTTTCCCCGTGTATCCGCTCGATTTCTCCCCTGGAAAGCACACACCGTCGTCGTTCACTTTCTTTCAAATTATATCACTATCGAGAAATCGCACAACGGTCCAATTTTGACCCGCGATTCAATTCTGACCGAAATTTTAAAATTTTGATCGAAAAAAATTTAATATTACTTAAGAGTAGTTATAAATATAATTTCATCATCAATATTTGTCAAATATTCGGGAATCGAATACATATATTGGATTCTTAAAATTCTTCGAAATAATTTTTAAATTATATTTTAAAATACGTTAATGTAATATTTTTTTCGTATCATATTTATAATAATAATAATAATAATAATAAAAAGAAATTGATTCCACCTTCTGTTTCTGCCTTTTTGTTTTTTTAGAATAATTTTATTACGACGGATTATCGCAGATTCGAAAAAAGAAAAAAACAGATTCGGAATTATGAAATCGTACGATATATATCAATTAGCTGAAAATTAACGGTAATGATATTTATAGTACGAACGTGTTCTTAATTTTGGTTAAATCGGACCGCTGTCGATGGAGAAACTTTATTATTTGCATCCTACGGTCGAACACCGTCACCGTCCGGTGAATAATTGTGAATATATTTCGTTTCCCTCGTGGGAGATCCCGCGAATTATCCACGCGCACGACTCGACCGACTCCCCTTTCTTCTTCCACGGGACCGAGACAAAGGGGAGAGAGAGCTTTGTTGAATACGGCTCTCGCTCGTTTCTCGAACGCCGCTTCAACCGGTCCCTGCTATCTCGCTCGTCCCTCCTTTCCTCCTTCGCCATCCCAAACTCGAGCTTCGTGGTAAACGCGCTCGAGCGAAGGGGAAGGAAACCGTCCATTACCTCGAAACGAAGAAGAAGAAACAACTTTCCACCTTGGAGATACGTGAAACTTTGATTTTCTTCGATCGGTCTTCGAGTTGAAAGGGAGGGAGGAGAAGAAAAGAAAAGGCGCGATCGATACTTTGGGAATTAAACTCTCCTTTGTCTTTTGAGGGAGGCGAGGAATAAATGCGACTGCTTTCGGTTTGTCGTAATTCTCTGAGATCCTGATCGATCGAATCGAAATTGATTTTCGAAAGGCTTCACCGATTTTTGGAAAAATCATATTTTATATCTAGGATACAATTTACGAT